GATGAGAAAATGTGGCATTAAAATCCCCAAGAAGGTCATCATGGAGCAGAGGTATTGGTGGGAGGGCGACCTGAAATGAAACTAGAGTGACAGGTGTGCTGCCCTGCTTCAGCCTCAAGGAGGCGAAGACTTTCAGCAGGAAACTGCACTATTGTCACATATTAGTTTCAAAGACCACCTTGTCAAGCAACACAGAAGATAAATTAGAATTAGGAAGCAGAGAGAAAGGGGCAAGCTGGAGGCACGGAGACTACTTATACATCCACTGCAGCCTTTACAAGGGTGTGATGGTCTGTGTGATGCTCACTGATGTAGATGGTCAAGAATTGGAAACACCCTAAATGTCTGTGGTAGAGTGTATCGGGCAGGATTTCTTTCATATCAACTTGATCACAAGGATTTGTTGGCTCTTCTCACTGGGAATTGTTGAAACCAGCTTTAGGCCAAGCTGGATTCAAGGCTTGGAAGATGTCTTTACTCTCTCCACATCTTGGCTTTGCATTTCTCTGGATTGGCATCATTCTCAGGCAGGCAGTCCTCACATGGGCACACAGATGACATCTACCACTCTCAACTTCCACCCTGCCAGCTCCATGAATGGAGCAGAAAGACAGTGACTTCAAAAGCAGGTCTGACTAATCCTAGAGCAACTGTGATTGGGGGACTTTGGATCATAATAAACCCATCTTTCAACTAAGCTTTGATCAGGTAGAGTCCTCTGGATTATGTGTCCTATTCTCGGAGGCATGGAGAGAGGGGGCAGCCAAGGGAGCAGGATTCTGCCGGACTGAAAAAGACTTGCATGGCCTGGAGGAAGGGCAGTTAGTTCTACAAAGAGTAGTGCTCGCAGCCCAGAACGGGGCACCCCCGCCCATGGGATGAGTTCACGCACTGAAGCATTGTGCCGCTATAACAAGCAGCGATGAGCTGTGGTTATTAACCCAGAAAGGTACCTGTGGCACATTGTGTAAGTGAAAAAAGTTCCCGAAAGAGTAGGTATAATAGGATCCAATTTTGATTTGAGGATAAAAAAGATCCCTAAGTCTGGGGGAAAACCCATTTAACAGTGGCTATTTCTAGGTGGTAAGACGATGGATGACATATTTACTTTCCTTAATACCGTTCTCTGTTCTCTGAAAGAAGTTTTACACTGAGGGAATATTTCTATTATTATCAAGAAAAATAATGGTTTCTATATGGGGAAAAGGAAAACTTATGTATTGCAGAGTCTCGGTAAGAATTGATGAGGCCACAGCTAAGAAGGGTGGGGGGCGGAGGGAAGGAGTTGAAAGAGTTTTCAGAAGCTGAATCCTTAGGACTTGCTGAGTGACTGGCTGAGGAGGAGCCTAGGCTGGCTCTGGGGCCTCTGCCCGTGGTGACCTGGCGGCAGGGGGTACCCAACACCGTAGGGCCAGCAGTGGGTAAAGGCCAGCAGACAACCTGTTAAAATGAATATTTGCCCTTCTTAGAGATTTTGAGGACTTAGTGGTAGGAAAACAGACCTTGGAGATTTATGCCATTGAAAGAAGGTTCCATTTGACTTCATAAAAATTTTGAATTACATTTTAGAAGAAGACATTATTACTGCTTGATACATATAGTGTATACCTCATTTATTCAGTAGTTGGTAAGTTCGGTGAGGTTGGAAAATCGTCTTTCTGTTAGAATCCCTCAACACCTAGCATATAACCTGGTTTGTAGAAATAGTGCTTTAAAATGTTTGTCATTGAATGAATTATTGAAGCTAAACTCACATTAGTTCTTAAGAGAAGTCATTGCCATAATCTGCTCAGGAAACTCATCAGACTGATTTTAATCATTTATAAATAGGCACTTACAAAGTCCTTAAAATAATGCTTTTCTTAATTAAAAACATTGTCCTAAATTATTTTAAGACCATTGTTAATGTTTAGCAAATCCCCTCTAATTTATAAAAGTAAAACAATCAACTGGGTCCTACATACATAGAGCATAAATTGCTCGAGAAAGTGAGGTGATAGATGATATATTTTTCTCTGGGTCTTTCATATGTATTTCTGTCTACCTTATAACATTATTTTCCTCTGAAGCACATTTACCACTCTAGTTCACAGAGCCCAGAAAATACATTATTTGGACTATGAGGCTATGTGTTTGAAGTGCTTTAATAGCTTGGGCTCTGGAACCGGCTGGTCTGGCTCTGAATCCCAGCATTGTAGCATGTAGACATGGGTAGTTTAAGTAACTCAGCCTCTCTCTCTGTCTTCTCATCTGTACAAACATGTTACCAGGTTGTCATGAAGATGAAAGAGTCACTAGAAAACACTTAGCACAGAACTCAGCACGTCGTTAGAACTCAAGTATCAGCCATTTTTTAAAAACACATTTGTTTAGCTCCTGGGATGGAGTGATTTTCAGAAGTACAGGATTTCTTGTTGTCCTATTTGTGATGGGATTTCTTTGATTTACCTTGAAATATGTAAATGCCGTCTCTTTGAAACCCTCCCAGCACAGCTGAAGTCTGTTTCCATCTTAAGGCCAAGCAAAAAGACAAAGCTTGGTGTATGTTTAGATCTCCACAAAAAGGGCGTTTCAGGTAGCGTCAGCCTGCACTTGAGACATTTGATTTGTCATAAGCAATTATAGGGTGTCACCATGCAGTATCCAGCTGCTGGCCAGCTCCTTGGAAGCAACTGTAGGCCAGACCTGCTGTTATTTCCAAATCACCTGTTGGGCCAGTCGCAGCTGAGCCGCCCCTGCTGTGTGGAGTCCCAGGGTCCTGCGACAGGATCTGCGGTACCTGGGAACAAACACAAGGGTCTGACCATCTCTCATGGAAGACGGCTGTGCCCTGTGAGCACTGCTGGTATTTCTCCTTAAGTATCATCTGCTGCCCTTAAACTGTGCTTGCTGGTTGTCGATCCTCAAGTTTAGTTGAAATAAAGTGTTTGGACGAAAATTAAAAAGAGGAGAAGTTGTGTAATTCATTGTTCAAACAGTGTCCAAGTTGATTTAGTGCCAAATTATAGTCACAATGCAGGAAAGGCCTGCCATTCCTTACAAGTTTTTGAATAAATTATTACTCACCCCCCCACCCCACCCCCACTATTCAAATGATACACTGGGGGGATCTTTGACACAAAAATATAAACGTGTATGAGTTTTTTTTTCTTTTTGGGGTTTGACAATCATTTTATTTTTTACTACTACACTTGAATGTATTTTAACATGAATTGAAACCTATTAAGTGGTTTAGATGCTAGATTATTTCATTTTTTTCAAAAGGTGCCCATACCAGGGAGTAGATCCCTGAACTGCAGAGACCGATATCAAAGCATGAAGCTTTGGTCACCACATAGATTTCCTGAAGGTAAAAAACACAGTCTCAAAGGTGTCAGATCCTAGTTCAGAGTATTTACAGTTAACCAGAGGTTTTACCTCTAAGCTGCCTTCTGAATGGACATAGGCTCTCTTCCTCACCCCATGTGCCTGCCTTCCCCTCCTCACCAGCTCAAAAAAACAAACAAAAAACAGAAAAACACCCAGCAACGATGCCCTCTTGTTGGCAGTAGAATTTATTCAGTAATTTACTTTCTGGCCAACTGTAGCCAATGCCATTGCCTCTGGGCACTTGTTCAAACACAGAAATGAAATAACAGATTGGCGGGGCCACCACAAGTCCCCAGTCGCAACCCCATTATCTCGTCACTCTGTCACCCCCATTAGGCAGAAGCCTGGGAGACGGGATGGTGATAGCACAGTATTTATGCAGCCTGGTCCTCTCCACAGTTCAGCTTTCCGCCAGTGCTCCCCCTTCATCTTCAGCCGGGTGTTGGAGAGAGGGCCCGGGATTTCGGGTCCCCAGGCCTTTGCCAAGGGCCTGCTCAGCCCATCTCAGGATGCCGTGCTGTGTCCTGCCTGCGAAGGGGCTCCTGAGTCCTGAGAAAGCCAGAGCCAGGCAAAGGAACCGACTTCCTCTGCTTGTTGACCACCCACCTGTGAATGAATATGCTGTGTTGAATGAATATGTGCTGTTGGATTTTACTGAAGGTGGAGGATTTCTCCACTTAAGTTATTTATAGCTGTTCTGTACAGGCGAGAGTCAGATGGAGCAGTTGCTTCATTAAATATTGTTGGGCCTCTGCAGGGTCATCTCCTTGAAAAGCAGATTTCTCTGGACAGAGTGACTGTACAGGATAGGAGCATCTTTGTATCCATAGAGAACCATTTTCTGATTGTTGCCTTCTGGTGAAATTCTGTTGAAATTATAGGCACAAGAGACAAATGTTTGATGAGAGTTTGTGGCTGCTTTCCCTGTTGGTCAATTGTTGAACTAGTGAAGTTTTAGAACTTGGATTATGTGAGATCCAGAGGAAAATGCCTCTCTCCCCAGAAGAGTCTGTCCCGTAGGCTAGACACTGTGGTTAGCTGTTCTGGGTGGTTCACATCCCAGTGGGCTCCACCTTTTATTTCTTCATTCTGTTCATCAGTTCAGTACAGCCCCAGAGTTACGTCTTTCATTAGTAATTCTTAGAGGGTTGGGGTGATGTTTGGTTTTATCCAATTGGAGGATAGTGAACAGAGCTGGAGTCCAGATAGATTGTGTGGGGCCCACCGACAGCATCCCCACCCTGTGGGGAGCCACGGATTCAGCCCTGCTCCCTACAGAGTTCTGGTTAGTAGTCGGTAGAACCCAGGTAAAGGCATCTCTGTCAGGAGACAGTGGCCTTGTTCTGAGGAAATGGGTAGGAGGAGAGCACACAGCTGAATGCTCTTTAGACAGGTGTATTTTCCACTAAAAAGAGCAGGATTTGGTTCAGATTAATCCATCCTGAAGAGAATTATTTTCATGTGAATGTTTTGCTGGGGATGTGTGGGAGCAGCCGTTCCTCACCCCTCCCCGGTAAGAAAGAACGGAGTAAAATAAAAACATTTAGTTATATGCGAGATGGCTTGTATTAAGCTTGTAATTGTTCTTGCCGGTTAAGTGCTGACTGCCCTGCCCTTTCCTTTCACACCAGCTCACACCCCGGACAACAGCTTCCTGGGCTTCGTGGTGGAGCAGCACCTGAACTCCAGCGACGTCCACCACATTAACGAGATCAAAAGGCAGAACCAGTCCCTCGTGTACGGCAAAGTGGATAGCTTCTGGAAGGTGAGTGGGTCTGCTCACCTCCCTCTCTCCGAAAAGCTGTTGGGGAATTTCGTTTCACTCTGACCCAGGATGTGATCAAGCCCGGTGCCCAGGGCCTGACCGGATCTGCTAAGAAGTCATCGAGAACGTGCCAGGATTTGGTGGCTCGGCATTTGGGTGTCTAGTAAAGGCTGTCCCTCCCTGCTCACCCGCACAGAGCCTGCCCAGCAAGGCCCTTCTCTTTGCACGTTGGAAGTGACACATTACAGCTTCTTTCACATCCTGTGCTCGCTTCCGAAAGCCAGGTTCCCACAGAAGCTGGGTATCTTTCTGGAGCAAAGCAATGCACAGAGAGACCCTTGGCCAAGTGGTTTTGAGAGAGGGTGTGGAAAGCCGGGCGCTCCCTTTGCCTGGGCAGTGCAGTGGCCCTCGCATCCGCTTGGCTGTAGTCGGTCCTCATAGTGGTCAGCGTTCAACCAACAGGGAAAGGAAAATGCCTGCCAGGACTGCCTGCGGGCGGTTTGCTCAGGGAGTTCTTGGGCAAAACAGCATTCTTGGCCATAGACTGAGCCAGGTTTTCCCAAAGTGTTGGGCTCCTGGATGATTTCCAGAGCACTTCTGGGGAAGGTAAGGCAGGAAAGGAACCAGTTGCCGTGTGACCAGCTGACGTGACCACATCTTTTATATGGCAGGTGTGGGAATTTCATAATTAGTTTTGAGGACATGTTTGTGTAGGACAGAACAGACTCCAAGAGTTCAAAACATGCCTCTTTCTGAACGTGAAAGTTAATCACTTTCTGGAATGATCAGGAGCAGGGGTCTCACATTACCATGCCTTGCCCAGTGAGGAAGTTAGAGGTCAGCCCCCTGAGGCAGCACACGCGATGTGCAGGGTCCGAGCTCCCTGCTGTGGGTTTTCTGACCCGTGTTCAGAAGATGAAAAGCACTGCTGCCCCTCTTCAGTTCTAAAATGCTGACTGTGGCGCAGAGATGGTAAAATAGGCCTTTCCAGGGAAGTGGATTTATTTTTATATAGTAACTCTTTGCTCTAATGGTTAGAATTGTCTTCATATAGTATCTTGGTTCTCTACTGGGGGCAGTTCCACGCCGGGGGACAGGTGGCACCGTCTGCAGACAACGTTGGTCGTCATGACTGAGGGGAGGCACTACTGGCATCTAGTGGGCAAAGGTCAGGGGTGCTGCAAACACCTGACAGTGCACAGGACAGCCCACAACAGGGAATTGTGTGGCACAATGTCAGGGGTGTGGAGAGGCTGAACCCGGGCTGGAAAATAAGATTTTCTTCCTACTTATATTATTCTACATGCTCTCCTCTCGGATTAAATAAAACCAGGCTAAATTATAAATGGTTATTTAAGATCTTCCCATGAATTTATACATCTTTGTATCAAAATTTGCCCATGTTAACAGAACATTACCCAACTGACTTTCAGCCCAACTTGGGTTAAAAGGAACACATTAGGTGTTCTCATTCTCAGCTCAGTCGTGAAATGACTGGATCATGGCCCTGATTTTTGGAAGATGTGGGCTCTTTAAAAAAGTATAACTGCCTTCTCCCCTCTGCACCTGCTCAAAGAAAATAGTTTGCATGTCTCTGTGGGCTTGACCTTCAAGTTATATCACTTCTGTTTTGAAACCAAGTGCAGCTTCCTCCTGGGTGCCTCTGCCAGCTTTTTTGGTTTTCCTAGAAAACTGAAACAATAAATCAATTTTGAACGCATTGGAATCACCTTTTCTTGGATAACATAAGGCTGCCACTGAAAGGATGGTTTCTTGATGCCAGTCAGAATCCCCAAAGTGTAAGCCGTGTGATTTGGAGTATGATTTGGAAATTCTTCCGAAATTCTGCAGATGACCCAACCTTCCGAGTGCTGGTTGCCCAACTATTACAGAATGCTGCGTGGCAGTGTGTCTGCATTAGTGTTGGTCTGAATACCCCAGATCTGGACTGTTATTTCAGTTTTATTGCATCATCATTACCCAGCATTCTTTGATGAGAAAGGTACAAAATGATGAAAAGTTCTGTAAACTTTTCACAAAAATTGAGGACATCTCCTCAGACTCTTAAACACAGCACAGTGTGTGAGAGTTCAGTTGCTTCTCTCAAAATGCCTCATCCCCTGCTATCTAGCGAGCGTGCACAGAAACAGATGCACCTGGCAAGTGTGATGTTCCTGCACCCACATTCCCAGAGCGGCGTTGGACACCGACCTCAGCCAGCTGGAAGTTTAGGAAGTTGCTTTTCCCATCCTTGCTCCATTCTCTTCCCCGCCCCCTCCCTCCTTTGCCTCAGGGATCTTTGGGGGTCCGTCTTGTTGGTGATTGGCAATTGTGATTCAGGCTCAGCAAGCCAGCCTGTATCAATGAGATTTTTCACTTGGAATTGTGCAGAGCAGAGGGACAGGGACAGTGACAGCTGTGGGACAGAAATTAAAAGGATGTATCCATAGTGATGATGAGGTCAAAGCAGCCTTCCAGTGATGAAGCAGGACCAGTTTGGAAAGGGAGAGGCTGCTGTCAGGAGCATGAAGGAGCAGAGTCACTGGGAGGAGAGGGGCCACCGTGAGAGATGTGGGGCCATTTCATGGCCAAGGTACCCTGTGGTCTTGTCTTGATGTTATAAGGTATGGTGGAGGGAGGGGACCTTGCCATCTGACTCCAGAATGCCAAACACACCAACTTAGGAATCATCTCTACCCAAGACCCTTAGCATCAGATGACATGCTTACAGCCTAATCCCAAGTACGGATCCCTTTCTTAGCCCAAGAACCCACAGTTCTAGGTTCTTGACATCAACCTGTGGGGCAGGCTGATCATTGGTGTCAGCTACCACATGTGCCTAGAAAAAAGAGGCCTCCAGTGTGGCCCATTTCAAGGTCCTTCAACATCAGGGAGTGAAAATTAGTTTTTGTGGAAATTAAAATTAATTTAAGTCTTGCTTAACTATATTATTTACCTAGCCTAAACATAACTGAATCTTCTGTTGATGGTACTCAAGGTCAGCATTTTACGTATACCGGATCCCACCAGGATTCTCTGATTACTCATTGATACACGATTGTTGCTAAGGTAAACATCCCAAAGGTCTTGCTCTGAGCACCTTAGGGAGTAAGCTAGCACAAACGGGTTCAGAGGTGGTCCTGAAACTCACCAGCTTGTGAGGCAATGGACTGCTTTGAGCCATAGGTTTCTGGCCAGTGAAAGGGGAGCAGTAACAGCTACCATATAGAGCAGGGCTTCTCTGCATGCAGAGCACCTGGCATCTTGTTCGGATGCTGAGTCTGTGGTTCTCACAAGCGCCCAGGTAATGCTGATGTGCTGTTTTGAGTAAAAGGCCCTGGGGTGTTTAGGATTGTGTAGAGTGCTTGGCACTGAGTACCTGGCCAGTCAGTGAAGCAGTAATTCTTGTTTCCTCTTTACCTTTGCCTTCCTGCTAATCTGTCAGACTGCCAACTATCATGTTACTTTTTACTACTGTTCCTGCCTGATTCCAGTCACTGCCCAACCTCACTTCCCGCTCAGCACACTTACAGGTCTAGTCTCTGGTGCCCGCCCCGTAGACTGGGGTGAACCTGTGTAAGCAGTGGACTCCAAGAGGATGTGAGAGTGCAGGGTCTTCTGTCCTGGTTTGTACAGTAGGTGCTTCCTGGGCAATTTGGCATAGTGTCAAGCACACAGACTCAGAGCAAAATAGCTGGGTTCAGATCCTGCCTCTGTTACCAGCAGCCTGGTCTTGGGCAATTTACTTGGCTTCACTTGGCCTCATTTTTCATGAAGAAGATAACAGCATTTCTGTATAGATTAAATGAGTTAACATATGCAAAGTGCTTACATTAACTCACAGTCTCACAGTTAGTCTGCTGCTATTATTAATATCATTATTGGGTCCAGATTGGAAACATAGTAAGAACTGCTACGGGTGTGAGACGGGGTGGGGTGGGGAGTAAAGGCTCTGAGGAACTGGCGAATACCAGCCTGCCCGAAGACATTCAGATTCCAGTTTTTAAAAATGTTTTTATTGATTTTTAGAGAGGAAGGGAGAGGGAAAGATAGAAACATCGATGAGAGAGAAACCCCACATTGATCGGCTGCCTCCTGCAGGCCCCTTACTGGGGATCAAGCCCGCAACCCCGGCATGTACTCTGACCAGGAATCGAACCAACAACCTCTTGGTGCATGGGACAGCGCTCAATCCACTGAGCCGTACTGGCTGGACAGATTCCAGTTTTTAAACTGTGTCTGTAGTTGGCAAACTCTTGCCCTTGAGCCAAATGTAGCCTGCCATCTGTTTTTGTAAATGAAGTTTCATTGGAACAGAGCTACACCCATTTGTGGCTGCTTTTGCACTAAAATGGCAGAGTTGTGTAGTTGTGACAGAGACTCTCAGACAAACCAAGCCTAAGCAACTTATTATTGGCCCTTTACAGAAACAATGTGAGACCCCTGAACTACATCACGTCCCAAGTAAGTCAAGGCTCCTGTAGGACACGTTTAGCCAATGGTCCCTGACATCTGAGTCTGTTTAGCTTGTTTGGTGGTTCTCGGTTTTCTTTTCCTGTGTGATTGAGACTGATGGAAAATGAAGTGTGCTTTTACTGAAATCTCTGTTAGTCCAAAGACAGAGCCCCAGGCCCTAGCCTGGCCTCCCGTAGTAGGCGTTCAGTAGAGCTGCCACTCATTCGCTTACTGACACGCTGATAATATAGAAGGCTTGTATTAGCGTGTCTACACCTGTCTAAGCCTCCGCAGCCCTCGCTTCAGGAGGTGTACGCCCATTCCTTCTGAGGAAGCGAGGACAGCTGTTACCCATTTCCTCCATCCTGGTTTAGGGATGAGGAGCTGGCCTAAGGAAATGGAGTGACTTGGCCAAGGTCCCACGCCGCATGACGTGACAAGTCCAGAACCAGGATCAAGGTTCAGACTTCTTCTCTAAGGATCCTGCCTCCCTGCTGCCCCTTGCTTGAGGAGCTGTCCCTCTGCCCTGAGCCTGGAGGGCGAGT